CTTTTATCCTACTAATGGCACTCATTAAAATAATTGGTCAAAGAAACTAATTAAAACCAATTTTTTAACAAAACAAACCCAAGGTTTTATGTAGTATTGTTAGAAATTGAAACATTGACCTAAATTGAGATGTCGAATCATGTTTGTCGCGGAATCTTGCTCCAAGGGTCGTCAAAACGGTGTTTTTCTAGCTCAGTTTCATGTTACATTTCTCTACTAAACAACCAATTCAAACGGCTCCAATCCACTACACATATTGACCTCGGTTGCTCCTCAATCTCACCCATGAAAGACAAGATAATGGTGATGATTTGTAAACCACAAAGGCACGAGAAAAACAATGAAAGAAGTACGAGATGGAGTCCAAAACACAAAGAAAGCTACCGATTTTTTCTCTCCAAGCAAGCTACCGATTTTTCTCTTTCTAACACACAAATCACACACAAAATGGCAATACCATATATATATATGCTAGGTTAGGCTTTAGTTGGACTAATGAAAGAGGTTAAATGACCCAACATTCAAAGTTATCCAAGAGGTAATATATGGGTCATGAGAAATATTAATTGTTTAAGTTACGTCCAACTACGCACGTTGTTTCAAGTTGAGCTTTTGGACTTAGTTGTTGGTAATAATTTAGTTCAACGTTTACATCATTGCTTGTGATTTATTGGGTATCAAAACCTAACAAATATCCACATTTATACCCAATCAATCTTCAAACAATCAGAAAAAAAAAAGTTAAAGCTTGCATAATCAAGGCAACTAATAAAATTGAAATCATAGACCTTACCTCATGTTTCGGGCCCAAAACATATACCATACATACTACATGTACTATGGCTAAGATCACAGACAAATATCCAAGTTGAAGCAGATAGTCACAGTAATCAATCAAGAGCAATAAACATGCGATGGAGATATCATATAGAATAACACAAATCTTTTTAAAAAAGAAACATTCACACAAAACAACAGTTAATCAATTAAGCAACCAATACGTATGCAACAAATGCATAAATAACCCCACGAAAAGATCTCACTACACTTATCATATCCCATTCCGTGT